TCTGAGATTAGAAATATTTTAAGTAACACCGTACTGCAGTTACATACACAAATTGCTCCAGGGCAGCCACAGAAGCAGCTCCTGAGAACAAGCAACAAGGCTTTTTTTTTTTAAAACCTGAAATTCTTGGGTAAACGATTTTTTAGTAAAGCTTTTTGTTACAAACTCATTACAGCCTACTCCTTACAGCCTACTCCTTAATGGGCATATCTCCTACACAAGTCTTCTACACAAACATCAAAAAATGGAAGTTCAAAATCATACAGTAAGAAACCTTCTGGACTACCATTTGAGTGGGCAGTGTAAGTTTCAGAGCATGTTACAGTACAAAACCCCTCCCACTTACTTAAGTTCCTCACAGAGTTCCAACAGAGTCAAATAAAAGGAGGACAGTATCTGCCCAAATGGTGACAATTTCAGATTTAGTTAAATCCTACTGTTATGATAATGTCTGAAGGCAAGCACAAATTGGGGCTCTCTAGACAGTCTGAACATATGAAGCAGTACATGTGGGAAAGTACTAAAAACAGTTTCAGTAGCTGTTTGTGGCATTAACCAAATTCCTATCAGTGAGACTGCTCCCATACGTGAAGATGAACTGGATCACATACATGCACACACACATTCAAGTATAAAGACTTTGTCTGAGAGACTTGTGTGGTCTGTCGCAGCAGAGGAATATAAATAGGCGATGTTTGATGGGAAAAAAAAACCTTGAACATTTGATTACAATTCTCTGGGCATAGATAATGCTCTTGTTTGACAATCTGCAGGTTCCGTCTTAAATGAGGTACCTGAGCACAGTCAGCAATAATCCCACCAGTGGAATTTATTAATTGCATTACTTCAACAACTGTTAACTTCTCCATGACATAAACATGGGAAGAAACATAAGACAGTCCCTTGCCTACAGGAAAGCATCTCACTTTCAGGTAGCCATGTGTATGTCACCTTTGAGTCCTACCCTCCACAATCTCAATCCTGCTCTTTTCTCTGCTATATCAAGCATACATGAAATCCAAATAAGCATGCAAAATAGAAGTAAACATAACATTTACATATATAGGCAGATTCTATTGTCATACTCAAGACCATTTGCTGAAAAAAAATTCCCCCTTTTCCTGATAATATTAAACATACAGTTTTGTGGGCAGGTAGGCTGCAGTATCATCTTTGCTCTTGATGATGTCATTACACTTGTCAAGTGTCTGAAAAACAGTAAATGTGTCTCCAATGCTGTAGAGAGCAGCAAGATTTTTTGCTAGTAGTTTTCGCGTAGGAGGCCCCGGGGAACTGCTGATGAGTCCTGTTAGCTGTTCTACAAGTTTCTTCTGTTTTTCCTTGACATCTGTCTGTTAATGGACCAAAAATACAGAAAATCAGAAAAGTTGTCTAATCCTGTGTCTTGCCTCCAACGCCCAGAAAAACCTACAAGAGATTGAAGTAAACCTTATACCTCTCCCACTTGCATGTAATTTCACAAATTGCTTGTCTCACAGAGGATTGAGATGCATTCAGTAATAGCAGTGACAGATGCTAAATGGTCAGAATTAGCTGTTACTCTATTTAATTTTTAGTTTTTCAAAATACAGTAGTATCTGTCTCAAACACCTTTTAATCCTTCTTTCTATCAAGAATCCCTACTCTGTGAGGGAAGATTTTTCCTTCCAAATACTTATGACAATGAAGAACTCAAATTGAGCTGTGTGTCATATAACAGAGTCATACTGTCTGTCTACAATTAAACACTTAAAAGCTACAAAGTAATACAGAGGCTCTTCAGGCTGAATCTGAAATCATACAGTCATCATCTGGCCATCTGTGAACCTTCTCAAGCCTGAAGTTAATACAAATATTTTAGAAAGAAGGGGGGAGAGGGTGAAGGGGGAATTACCTTGTTAGCAGCCACCAGCACTTTATCCAAAAATCTTAACCATTCAAAGATAAAGACTGGTCTCTTTGCTTCTGTGATTTGAGTTAATGCTTCCTCGTTCAGTAACAAACTATGAGCCAGCTCCATAACTGGTTAAATTCCAGCTTTATTATAATTTTTTTGTAGCAACTCTACAATAAAAATATAAATATTAGTACAAAGTATAGTACAACAGTACGGAGCTTTGAAAATAAAATTAAAATATGAAGATGAAATCTATTGATTACAGTATCGTGGTTCCAGCCTGCTTACACTAGTATTAGCTAAGCAGTCCCAACTAAAAGCTACTCTCATATTTACAACTATGTTCCCTGAAATACTAATGGATGTATTCAGTTTTGAATTGTACAAACAGTACCTTCAGACAACTTCAGCATGCTAACTCTTAGCCAAAAAAAACCAAACAAACCAAAAACAAAACTGAAGTGTTTGTTCAAAGACAAAAAAAACCCTCCAACACACAAAAGAGATAAAGGAGTCATCTCACTGTCTCCTCTTACATTAAACAGACGAAGAATCATCCCTAATCAAGACTCTTGACCACACTCCCGAAGCTTGGGCATGAACCTGGCCACCTGCTCAACATCTTCAACAAACAAGGTGAAAAGGAGATGAGCCTATCACAAGTAGGATTTTCCATCCATCACAAATGTGAAAGAGGCAGGAACAGTGACAGCATTTGGCATCACCATCCCAAGACCTCCCAGAACTCACTGACCTTGTTTTAAGGGCTGGACAAATAAGCCCTCTGAAACCCGGCAAGCCTTATGCGCAACAGCCTGGAATACAAGCAGCAGCCAAATGACTGCATGTTTCCTCAGCAGGCAAAACACTACAAATCAAACACCCCAGATCCTGCTCAAATGGCAAACGTGCTGGGTAGCAGCAAAGCACTACCAAAAGCATACTATCAGTCTAAGCAAACACTCTGCAGACAGCTTAACCTTAGCAAACCACATTTAAACAAAGTGTAGCTGTTTAATGCTGAACAGCTGGGGGAAAAAAAAACCCAAAACTTATCTAAAAATCACAAAATAAATCCAACTATATTTAGCAAAAAGAAACGCAGAAAGGAGGAAAAAAAAATCTACCAAAACCTGAATGCAATGATGCTGAAACCAGGATCTCAGGCAAAGAAGAAAAGGCAAAGCAACTAAGGAGTATTATATAAGACACCATCTTTCGACAGCTGCACCCTTCCACTTGTGCTCTCAAGTGCTCACAGCTGCTTCCTCACTCATGGCCAAACCCAACAAATTCTTTAAGTCAAACAAAGTGATTTAAATTAATTTTTTTTAAAACAGTCCCCATATTAGCCAGTAGTAAATGGCGACATACCAATACTACAACTGTATTACAGTTCTAAATTCATCATAATGATTTGGTGCTGATGAATCTAAAGCACCACAACATCTATGATATTAAGCTTGTTCTGTGCTCTTTGGTACTTTGCATTATAATATTCTTCACCACATACACCTCCAGCAACAGCTCAGCAAAGGTGGAAGAGCCATATATGGAAGCACATAGAGTCTTTTCTCTGACATCTCCACAGACATCTTCTGGAATTTTTATTTTTTTTAATTTTTTTTTTAATTTATTTTTTTCATCATAACAAATTGAAGAGCTATTGCCTGTCAATAATCGGACATATCATCTCAGAACACTTTTAACAGCAGAGCAGCGAGAAATGCAGTGAATGACAGCACCATGATTCTTGGGTTATCATCCCAAAGACCTACAATGCTCCTCAACCAGCACAGCACAGGGGTACTGCATGACAGCACACCTCACTACTCCTTTTCCTCCCTGGATAAGAGTTTTCATTTTCCCCTGGCCTTTAGAGCCATGAACCCCTTTTATGCTTTCCATACACACCCTTACCTCTTCGTGTAAATTCAGGAAACACGAACTCCAAGCTACCAAACCCGCACATGCATTCAGTTATGACACTGAAGCATTATAGATACCTTATTACAGTACTAGAGATCCTTTCTAAGTCTATTTTTCTGTAACCTAAATCAACTATTTAGATCTTTACCGCACATGCACTTCAGCAGACTGCAAAAGCTGAAAAACAGGCAAGCTTAAGAGAAACGACATCCTCCTGAAAAACTGCATCAGGGGAAAAGGGGATTGTGCCTGCGATTCTCTACCTGTATCAGTTACTTTAATAAGCTGTAGCACCTCTCCCAAGAAACAACGTCTCAAGACCGCATCCACCAATTCCTCGGCAGAGGAACAACGCTACGAACCAGACAGAAGCCTGCTGCCTTTCATATCCCGCCTCACGTACGCACACCTGCACCCTTGCTCCCCACACACCCCCCACCACCGGCGCCGA